AATATAATGATAAAAATCCGAATAACGAAGAACGAGATTAGAGCACCAGCGCAGAACTATTAAAAAGACCAAGATCCCTAAACGATTGTGCCAGACAAATAGCTCGCGAACTCCGACCTACAACAACGAAATTTCAATTGCGTGAAAATGTTTTTTGGGATTACCACCAACCCCCGGATTAGTCGCGCACGCACACACTGCAGCGAGTTGGAGAAAGTCTGAAAGGTTTAACGACTGTTTCGTTATATTTATGCGCGACGATAATGGTAAAGCACGAGAAAGGAACTTTAATGGACGGGGAATGCACGGTCCACGGGGATGGGTCACCACGCAACAATGCAACAGAAAGAAAAAGGGGCTCGATGACCCTCGCGAGCGTTCATTCGTGCGCCGTGTGACGAACCATTGGGAGGGAAAAAAGGAGAATCCACCAAGCCCGTCGATTTACAAGAGAAACGAGGAAAGGTCAGCCACTTGATATTTATCTTCGACGCGTCTGCACGTCGCTCTCGTCACCCGATGGCTCGCCGTATATTTTCCTCGGGAAACGCTAGGCACAGACGACCATGGAAATCTTCAGGTTACAAAATTTAGGGAGAACAGGAGAAAATCGATCACTGAAGTTGTTCACTGTCACTCAATCATTTAACAATTCTAGAAGATTCAATTGGCAATTTGTTTGAATTAAATCCTGTGTCAACAGTTGTTTCCTGAATGATTAAACAATCAAATCAATAATCAACCCCTTGCCCTATAACATCGTGTCAGACTCGTGAAGAAAATTTCAAACCGCATTCAACAAATCTAAGTTCCATTTACTTATTTTTAAAATCAATTTAATATCACTGCTGTATTACAGAAGTCCTAAGGACAACGAGTCAACATAATAAACACTTTAAACAAACAACACCGGAATTCGGTTCATAATAAACAAGATGACATCGATATTGATTAAAGAAGTTTCATAAGCATGCCGAGGCCCCACATCAGCTACGATTAATCCAATATACCCTCCATCCAATATTCAACAAACAACAATCATCTGAAATCTTAACTAACATCGCCGAAAACCAATAACCAACACCCAAATCCCATTTAATGCGAAAAATTCAGCATTCCAGAGTCCCATAGCCCCGAAAAGTCAATCTCCTAGTACCCCATCCTCCGTCCCTCCATTACAATTTTTCCTCCGCGAAATCCCCGAAAGATTTACACCGTCCCAGAGAGGTCGGAAAGGGAAAGAGCATTGTCGCGGCGACACTTTCTCCCGTGGCCGCCTTTGTGGTCCGCAAAAGGAGCAAGACCCCTAAAGAAGGCTCTCCGGTGTTCCGGGGCCCGCGTAAGTCATAGCCGGAACAATGACAAATAAATTTCAGAAAGGGAGTTACGGCTAGCGGGGCCCGCTTCTCGGAAGGTGGCATGCGTGCGTGCGCTCGCGCGCGCGCGACGGACCAGCCCGTCCGCGTGCACACGCAGCTCTCCGCGGCCAGGCCGCCGCGAAAGTGAAACGGTCCAGTGAAACGGTACCTTGGCTGCGCGACGGATTCCCTCTTTCTCTGGCGCGCGGCCGCGGACCCCGGCCATTTATAAATTACAACCGGTGAGCGAGCAGCGTCCACGCTTGTAGAGAAGCGAAGGGACAACAGGACAAAAAGAAGAAACCAGCCGTACAGCTTTGGGAGAGGGAGAGCAGAGAGCAGTCCCGACGGAACCGGACCGAGCAGCGAGCAAAGAGAACCAGCGGAGAAAGAAGAGGACAAGCTGCGGCGAGCTGATAGAAGAGCGAGGGGGGCTGCTCGAGGATGATCTTGAAGAAACGGAGACGGGGAACACGTTTCGAAGACTCCGGGAGAGCTGGATCATAAATGAGCGATCGAAACGGAAAGGCTGAGGAACACAGGCTGAAGGATGGCGCAACAGAGAGAGACAAAACCTTAGGGGCTTCCTCGCGGAGACGATTTGCGCGGAGGCATTCGAAACGCAGGTATTCGAGCTGGGTAGGCCGCGACCGGTGCAATTTCACGGAAAGCGCGCTAGGAATACAAAGCCGGCGCAGCAGAGCCTGACTCTTTCAGGTAACGTTTCCTTCCCTGGTTCCCTTTTGCCCTCTCTCTTAGAAGGTCCCTTCCTCTTCCCCGGTGACTGGGTCCCCTGGAGGCCAGGTTTATTGTTAGCGGAAAGCCGACTCTCCGCGTAAGGTGCACCTAGGCGCCTGTACAGGTGCAAGACGATCGTTTGCTCAGGTGTCCCTGCGGGACTGCGGCTCGGGAGCACCGATGCGCCGCATTCGTTTTCGGCTGCAGGGTGTGTACCGGGTGTAGACACTGGCTGGCCGGGGAGATTACAGGGGAATATTAGGCTCGACGGTCTCCGAGAGACTGGCTAATTGGTGTTTGCGCCGATTTTGAAACGCTGAGCAAACCCCGGAGCGAAGCAGTGCTAGGAATTATGTGTATACTGCTGGAGTCGGCGGAGAGAGAGACGATGGAGAAGAGATACGTGGGATGATGCTGTTGAAGAATCGGCGACGGGAAGCTTGCGGATGATGTATGCTTTTTAAGGGTTGAGGAATTTAGGTAAAAATTAGTGGAATTGCTTGTCTGTGGTGTGAAGATTTATGGCTTTGAAGGTTTGTTATGGTAGAATCATTGGACGATCGATGAGGAAATTATATTCTCGAGCAGAGTTTGTTGGAAAGGTAATGCAGAATGGTAGACGGAACTAGAAGAAGAATACATTCAAAATGTAAAAGTAGTTTCAGAGTATTCTCTGGGCAGATGCTGAACTTTTAAGTCGGAACTCTTGAACTATTAAGATTTCGTGCATCCGTTAAAAATTCTATTTGAAACAAGTTACTGGAACGAGATTTTTCGGAGTTGCAAGAAGAAGTTAGGAAGAGCACTAGGTTTCTGATTATGGAAAGTAGAAGCCAGAAAATCAATCCCTATAAATCAGCAAGCAGCTCGATTTAATCCGACGTGCCAGCATAGAAGATTCAATGCACAATATCGCTGAGGCTGGAAATTTATTTATGAGAGGCTTAACGTTTATTGACTAGACATATTTTTCCATTTATTATGCTGTTACGTTTCGTAGAAATTTAAGATCAGCTAAATTTAATCTAGTGCGATATATGCGATCAGATCGCAGCATATACTTATGGCACATAACGATCGAACAATAATTGAGTTACACAAACATTGTACGGTATCGCTGAAACACAATTTATCAACTTCACCTTTTCCACAGAACAAATTTCTCTTAATATAACACACGAAGAGTCAACACAATTTCATTCCTCCTGATTTTAAAATCTGTACATTACACTGCAAACAGTATTCAATTTAATTAACATTGTTCTATCCTTCTTAAATGATTATCCGATGCAAATAATTAAACTTCCGCAGCTATGACTTGAAGAAATCCTCACAAAGAAAATCTAGAAAGCAAACAAATCCCTATTCTCTTTCCCATAAGGAACGCTCATGCTCATTTGCATACCTAAAAGTAACAATACCCAAACGTTCAAACCAGTCACCATACTTGAAAAAATAATTTTCCCCATTCCCAGTCGACCTAAACATACCAGCTACATCAGAACCAGTTTATTACTTTAAATTTCTCGTATCGCAGCAATCTACTACCAGATTTCCTCCATCCCACCGCGCATACCTGTACGCGCCTAGCGTAGTGACTCATTGATAGATTACGCGGCGATACCATCTCTTTCATTTACGTTATCGCGTCCTGCGTTTTGACATCGCGTCTGTCGCGCGGACTGATGAACTCCCTCCTCGACGTATAATACACGCATCCGTTGTACCGCAGGTGCACGGCGAACCTATTCACCAGAACACGCGAAACACGCAAGTGCGAAAACGCAGCAGATGACGCTTGCACAACGTAATGGTACGTGTCCATTTCAGAGTAAAACCGCCGTGAGTTGTACTACGGAGCATTTCTCCAAGCGAACACTCCTTGAGAATGAATTCGAGAGAATTCAACTCATCATCCCTTTCAAGGCAGTACCCATTTGCTAGAAACTGCTCTAGAAAGCGACTCGCGATGGCCTAACTCTAAAATGGACGCACACATCTTCTAGATGCTCACTAGAAATATTTTAACATTTTCTAGCGAGATAAATACGATACTTCGTGAGACTCGAAGAGAAATCACACGTATATTGGAGAAGAATGCTGTTTTATTTCAATATTTCTCAAATTGATGCATCATACGAATAATATTAAATATCAAATTTTATAGTTTTACTGTATGAAATCAAGTGATGAGTGAGAGTCACCTCTCGAGTGCAAAGGGTTAAATATTCTTCAGTTTATTACACACGTATCCACGCTATATATTGTAATACAATTTCGATTCGATCTCGCTCGATATTTGTTCGTCGAAAACAAAGGGAAAGAATTTTGAATGCACCTAACAAGTGCCGATAGTGAAGATCAAGCATTACTAAACCCACACAAGCATTTCGCGAAATGCTGTCGCAGCATTCGTTCTAGAGCAACAGAGACAATTCTTCTCTCTACAAAGACGGATAAAAGGATTGTACATCTTTTTATCGAAAGAACCGCACCAGCGACATTTTGCCTTACAGCGGAACGGAAATGGTACCAGCATCCCAGTCGCGGGCCGTTCAAAAATCTCGGCGCCGCACGGTCGCGCCGAAAGACCGGGGATCACGGTCGATGGTCCGCGTAGCCAAGGACTCCGATCCCGTCGGATTCCAGGATCGGCGCGCGAAACGTAGCCAGACGTTTCTGGTGGAATTCCACGGCAGTGCGCCGTGCGGCGGTTAACCACCTGCTGAGCGATCGCGTGCCAACGGGGAATACCGGGCGTCCCTGGTCCCGGGGAAAGCGCAAGAACACGTTCGTGGGAACTTGCACGTGACCCGCGTCCGGTGTTATTCATATTTTCAATAAACGATCGAAATAATGCGGGGGATGGGGGGGAACGTCGAAATACAAAAGATTATCACTCACCTAACAGAGGGAAGAAGAACAGCAACGCAGAGAAGACAGCGGCTAAGGCAGCCTGATGATCTTGGGCTGCCATCGTGATCCTCTTCTTGCACTGGTCTAAGTTACGCGTTCAATCGTTTCTCTTCGTTTTTTACTCGCAGATTCGTTTGTTTCTGTTTGTTGGTCACAGAATCTTTCTTAGTCACTGGAACACACTGCACTCGGTTCGGTTTCGGGTCTCGACGCGAACGTATCGGGATTAAATGTTAGAAGGCATCGGGGCCCGTTACCATTAAATGACTCTCGCCGCACGTCGTAACGTCACGCTAGCCGATTTCGGACTGTGGCGGGGAGTGCGGCTCGTACGAACTCGGCTCGGCCTTCGGACGCGCTCGGCTGCCGTCGGTCGGCACCGGTACGAGACGACTCGGGCACGCCAGGTACCCGAAGTGGGAAAGCCGCGATCTCGCGGGGAGAACGCCGTGAGATCAACCGATCCTTCCTGTCTTGGGTTCCTCTTCCTTTCCGCAGGCTCTCTCGGATACTCCTTCCTTCCCTCTCCTCCGCTCTATTCTTTCCTCCCCGGCAACGTTTCACGCGTACACGAGCATTTTTATGTGACGACAACGGGACACCGCGACATCCTATAGGATCCCTGTTTATTGGCCCGTGGCACCGACCGACAGGCTGCTAGGCGCTCTTTCCGGAACCGCGTGCTTCCGGCATTTCGGGATTTTGTTTTATGACGAAGCGTGGCAGGAGCGAATGAAATTGTTTCGTATCTTTCAGGATGACTTTGATGATCTATTTGGAGATTCTGGGGTATCTGATTGGAGAGTTTTTAGGGACTCTGGGGCTATATTTAACCCCTTGGCCTATGATTTCTTTCTCAACTCTGATCGATACGGTTACTTTGTCATTAATAATTTATTGGAAAAAAGAAAAATTCTAAGTATATGTTATGTCTATATTTCCTTTTAAGTATAATAGTTGTTTACTGAGGAATAATATTTACTTTGAATTCGAATGAACTGAATAATATATATATTTGTTGAATCATGTTGAAAATCTTCACCACAAGTCTGACTCGTTGTAGGGCAAGGGGTTAACCCACTTGCATCATAAACGTATATATGCGCGCCACCGTTGTGTAATTTGTATATCACAAGAAAAGGGAAAGATACATTTTATGAGTGCTATAATTGTCGTGTGGCTATATAGGTTTTTACTTTTTTATACGTTTCGAATTATTTTTATTTTGATGTAGTTGAAACATTCGTGGCGGTGAGGACCAATTTTCCATTTTTTCGTATGATGCAAATGGGTTAAGGTAGTACCAATGGTTGGCCAGTTAAGAAAAATGTTATGCGTGAATAATGGTAAACGCTTGTTCTTTTATTAAATAGAGAGACTCTATATATGAAAATGCTATTTGAATTTCTTACATTATGTAACGAAGCGAACTTTTTTGAAATAGTTATACTATACAAATTTTATAGATTTTTGAAAATTTAGTACTTGCGCCAGAAGTTGACCACCCTTTGAAACGAGGAAGCTAGTAATTGACCGTATCTTAGTTAGCAGTTGAGCACTTATAGTAAAATACACTAAAGGTGATCACTTTAAAATATATTATTTCGAACGATTATGACACATTACAAGTAGAAAGACAAATACAAATGAAAATAAGTTAATTCCATGTTGGAAATTGGAGGCATATAATCATCGTCAATGAAATAAATTGTTAATTTTTACGGTAAACAATTCAATTCAGGTAAAACTGTGTCGGAGCTGGATCGGTAGATGCTGAAGCATATCTGTCGCGCCTTTATGAAAATATTATTGCTTCTAAAAATCTTATTTTTTACATTTTTCTAAAAAATGGTCAACTAATGAGACCAGGTCAATTACTCGTGCCTTTACCTTAGATGCTTTTGGAATTTGGGATTGTGATGTTTTGATAAGTGTAGAAAAAAATTGAAAAAGTTTTTAGGCCTTTTTGGGAATGTTGACGTTGCAAGTGAATGATAGAAAATCAGATAAATGATAAATCGAATAACAATCTTGTATTTTATCAAATTTTATTGAACTTCTTGGAATACTTTCTCACATTTAGAACGAACTTCAGGAAAAACAAGTATAGAATCTGTGTCACCTTGACTGTGGCTTTATTCGAGACTCTGGAATCTTATCTGATGTACCACAATACACACTGTAATTAAGAGCAACACGTCGTAAATTTAGCATGTCGTAAAACACGATAGCACTTCAAAAACAGTATCGTATGAAAAAATCACGTGCCTGAAAACGGAACGTGTATCCGAATGCATAGCGACAGGCAATCTCCATTTTTCTCTAATTTCACAACGTTTAAATTGGTACATTAAGCTTTAAACAATACAAGTTCAATACTTCAATTCTTCTTGTTTTCCTAGTTTTAAATAATTAAGAACTAAATGTAACTATTCCCAAATGCTTCCCCTAAACAATAAATATCATACATAAAAAACCGCTCCGAAAAATGCCAAAAAATTGTCGAACAAATCATCCCACATATAGTTTAACAACAAAACCTTCCGCCGAACTAAATAGTTCCTGCGCTTCGTAACTTTCTCGCAAAACCGAAGACAAAACAGCATTAATTAACAAAATTAAACACCCGGCTTATCAGCTGCACCATAAACCGGAAGCACCGGCGTCCGAATCATTCAATACAAAAACTAATCCCTTGCGAACAAGGCCAGCGGATACGAATTTCCAGCTACGGTAACTACTTTTTCGCCAAACCGGTGGAAATTCGCCGTGAAATCACCGCGCGCGCTGGTATCAGCAGGATGCGATGTTGCCTGGCGCAACTTGCATCCCGTCTCGTCGTAGTCGCGGGAAATGCTGCATCGTCATGCGAACAGTTATGTGCACAGAGCATTATCGCGCGTTTCATTACGGCTGAAACTATCGTGACATGGATATTCGGTCGTCTTTCGAGCGTACACCTGCCCCATTAATCTCTGCGATCCACGAGGATCGTTGTCGTCCGGGTTGAAAGTGAGCCGCGGTCGACGTCGAGTGCCATAAAACGCCGGCACGGGCCCTTAAAGCGGCGAAGGGACCGGTGCCCCATGGTTTGCGAGTGATAAACCACTGGAAACCCTGTGCAACCTCTATCTCACCCCGTATACGCGAGACGGATCGTTTAAAATTACTAATTCTTCGGTTACGACGCGATAAGAACGTTAATTGCCATTGAAGGGAGAGACGATGACACCTCGCCCCACCTCTCCACGCCTCGCGAGTTTCCTCTTCCCTCTACTCGTAGCTTCTGCACACGATTCCCCTGGTATTGTGAATTCCCTTATCTCACGGGCCTCTGTTTGCCTGATAATAAGCGACACGAATTTGATTAAACGTTAACACGCTCTCGCCGAGTGCTAACAGGCCGTTTTCACGACGTTCCCGTCACACGCGAGTACGTCGTATGAAAAAGAGGTGTTGACGCGGACCGCTCTTCGCATCAACGTTGCTCGTTCAAAGGGATTGTAGTTTTTTGTGACTTTGCTTGGGGTTTTTTCTTTATCGTTCGAGAGTTTGCATAGTGGGAGTTTGTTAACTGAGATATTTTTATCCTCATTTGTGTTTCATTTTTCTCGGTACACATGCTGGAAGATTGATAAATATTTATGACTGTTACTTGAGACAGTTTAGTCACTTGTTTTTCTGATAATAATACTGAGAGATCTTTTTAGGTTATGTCGTTCGAAATGATTTGTTGGCTCATAATTGTAATTGTCATAAGAATTGAAGAATTTGTCGAGGAATTTTCAACTATTAATCATCGACTCTTAAGGTACTATTAAATAACTGTTGATGAACGAAGAATTAGTAATTTCTCAGTATTCCAGGCGTAGCGCGTCGCAGCGTCAGCCATATTGATTGTTTTCGGTTACGTGGTCTGAATTGAAAGAGCTGCCGATATTTTATATAGCGTCCAAGGAACATGGCTTAAGTATAATACCTTGTCTGGACCAGATCACCCTCGAGATACTGAAGAACATATGTTTCTTATTCGTTACTCTGGTGATTGCTTCATCCTCATTGATATGAGTGATTACTGATAAAACGAATAGGATCTCGGAAATTTTTCTAAAAATTATTCCATACATAAATTTCGTTAAAACTGGATTGGCACACTTAAATAATGTCCTTTATCTCGATCAAAGTCGATTCTTTTTCCGCTGCAGAGTTATCACCGAAGTTCTTCAGCATTTTAGAAATCCACTCTTGACTACGGGGGAGTCTTAGACAATTAATGGGGTGAGGGCGATAAGATCAGGAAGACGCTCAGCTTAATCCGGGGTACCAGCATGGAGCATTCAATTGACAATGTTTTTGAAGCCAACAATTTACTTACAGGAGTCTTAACGTTTAATCATGGAACATATTTTTCCATTTGTTGTACGTCTGAAGAACGTCAAATCATTTAACCCTCATTCAGTGTGTATGCAATCTGATTGATGTGCCTGCAGATGTATTTAACTATGATATACAAATGAATATTAAATAAAACGTTTAACCTTTATTAAGTACTTCAATCTAATTAAAATAACATAAATATTTTATAAAATTTCGTTATGGTATTTATTTATATTTTAACAATTGTCCAACGATAAGAAAACGTTAAACAGTTTGGAAACTCATTATTTTTACAAATCACGTGTTTCCTTACTTGTATTTTAATAATACACATTCCTCGTCACATTAATTATAATATTTGAAATTTCTTCCTCAATATATTCTACCAAAACAACCCACACACTCCCTTGTCTCTCACAAAACCTTCTTCACTGTGAATATCTCAGACATCAACAAGAAACTATAATCCACAAACATCCCATCAATTTTTCATCAGGATACACCATTAGCACCATTCTTTCTCCGCGACTATATCCCAACCACAACAAACAAACCAACCGAAACACCTATCCCAAAACCCGCCCTAGAAATGTCTCCCCATCGTGTTCTCGTAGAGCAGCGAGAAACCAACGACGTCCAGGCGTAAAACTGATCCTCGAGAACGTCGTCGGTCTCGAGTGCCTTTCTCTTATTTAGAAAAACACACCTCCGCGACGCGGCCCTTCCCTCAAGAGGGTGGCTCTCCAAATAAACCCGGCGACCCCTTCGCGCGGTTTACGCGGCCGTCCTCCTCTTCGGAGCAGGGAAACGCGCGGTTGACCCGCGGCGAGGGAAAAGAAGGAAAGAGAAAAACAACCGAAGAAAAGGCAACATGCTTGCCGTTTGTCATTGGCCTGTTTACAGCCGAACGGGCAACGAGCAACGGCGT